TTTATGGAGGAGCGGTTTCAACCATGATGCGGAATGGAGTCAATTCTATTGATAAGGAAGATTTCCTTGAATTGATTGCAGATGCAAGAAAGGGTGCTTTTACGGCCTCTACTATCCAGAATAGCTTCTTGGCTACTGGATTAACACCATTTAATCCAGATAAAGTCTTGGAAAAACTGAATGTGCGCCTGGATGAACTTCCTCCTCTTGAGATCCTTTCCCAGCGACCACTCTCTTCCGGCAGTGATAGTGATCCAAATACTCTCTGGACTCTCTCGAAATTCTCAAAATCGCAATCTCGTATCAAAAAAGGTCTAGAATCTTCTTCTTCAATCCTTTCTTCGCCTATTAAACGGGAGATTAAGAGGACCTACGAAATGACCATAAAAGTGGTCCACCGCCAAATTTTCCTCCAAGATCGCTGTATACAATTAGAGGCAACCAACAAAAAACAGACAAAAAAACGAGTGATCAAACATACATTTATTGATCAGAGAGGCATTTTAAGGGGTCAGGAGAGCAGTCAGAGTGATGTGGTTATTGAGAAGAAGGATGTATGTAAAGATATATCTTTGCTGGAGATGCCTGTAGAACAACCTACAGAACCTGCTTTACCCTCTATGCCTACAGTTAGGCGGCAGGTCACCTGTTCTGGATGTGGTACTAAAGGTCATACGTATATTAAATGCCATACACGTGTTAAATAGCAAAATTTAAGTTGTTTTTGTGGTATTATTCATGCTTAAAAATTGAAGGTTTTTTCATTTTTGGTGGGGCCGCCCGACCAGCAGTGTCGCCCGGGAGACCGTGAATCACGTTAAATAACGTATTGTGTAAGCGAGTGGAACATGTAAGCGAGTGGAACACCTACGCGTTAGTTTCGCGTCATGTTCATTACATCAATTTTCAACCACCCACAATGCCACCAATTCGCTCTCAAAGCTCTCAAAAACGTATAGAGCAAGAGGGTAGGATCTTATTAGCTATTCGCTCTCTTCAGTCCGATGAAAAATGCTCAATTCGTCAATTGGCTCGCGATTTCGACGTCCCGCTGAATACGCTCCGTCGCCGTATGGCAGGTGTCAAAAGTCGCGAAGAAACCCGCGCCAACAGCCATAAATTGACTTTTTTGGAAGAGGAATCCCTTGAGAATTGGATCATCTCATTAGATGAGCGTGGAGCTGCCCCTCGGCCAAATACCGTACGAGAAGTGGCCAATTTGCTACTCGCGGACCGTGGGACTGACCCGACCGAGACAGTCGGGGTGAAATGGGTCTATAACTTCGTCCAACGGCATCCTAACCTCTCCACTCGATTCTCGAGGTCTTACGATTACCGGCGAGCTCAATGCGAGGACGTGAAGATGATTACAACGTGGTTTAACTACCTTCAAAGTACGATTGCGAAATACGGTATCCTTGAGGAGGATATCTACAATTTCGACGAGACTGGCTTCGCTCTCGGCCTTACAGCCACTGCAAAAGTTGTGACGAGGACTTCGTACGGTCGGCGAGCTCTTTTACAGCCTGGAAATCGCGAATGGGTGACGACAATTGAAGCAATAAGCGCGTCGGGGTATACGTTACCGCCATGCGTCATTTTTAAGGGTAAGGTCTTTATGAAGGCCTGGTTCGGCGATACAGACCTACCGGCGACTTGGCTTTTCGCAGTTACTGAAAAAGGATGGACTACGCATTCTATAAGCCTTGAATGGCTTCAAAAGGTCTTTATCCCATCGACTATAAGCCGTACGAAAGGAGTATATCGTCTCCTCGTCCTTGACGGACATGGCAGCCATCTTACGCCTCAATTTGACGAAATCTGCGCTCAAAATAATATCATCACGATCTGTATGCCGGCGCATTCATCGCACCTTTTACAGCCTCTCGATATCGGCTGTTTTGGGGTATTGAAACGGGCTTATAGTGAAGTGGTTGAGTCCCAGACAAGGCTTGGCATACACCGCGTCGATAAGAATGACTTCTTAGAGGCATACAAGAAGGCCCGAATCAAGGCATTTACAGAGAGCAATATTGTGAATAGCTTCGCCGGCGCTGGTATCAAGCCATTCGACCCGCAGCACGTTATTTCGAAGCTTAATGTCCGCCTTATCACCCCCCCCCACGACCTACTAGCCATAGTAGCGATTCAAGCCGCAATTTTACTCCAAAGACGCCGCGAACAGTGAAAGAAGTGAAGAGACAGGCCTCATCTATTCGGAAGCTCGCTGCCGATAATCCTAGACGTCTAGGTGATGCGATAGACCAAATGGAGAAAGGCTGTCAGCTTGCTATCCACAGCTTCACTATCGCGAGGCAGCAAATCAATGAATTGCTTGCCGCCAATGCGAAAGTGACGCGTAGAAAGCGGCGTACGAAAGCTCAAATAGCGCATGAAGGTAGTCTACTAGTTCAAGAAGCAATAACGCGTATTAGTGGACCGGGGCAGGTGGAAGAAGCTATACATGAGCAAGCCGGCGGAGCATCGCCGACACCTAATCAGACCAATGAGAGACGCCCACAGCGATGCAGTCTCTGTAAAACGCCTGGACATAAGAGAAATAGGTGCCTAGAGAGGTCTGAATAGCCTCAGTTTTAATGAATTCGTATTGTGGTTGAAAAAATTGAATAATAATAGTAGATATAGCGGGCGGGTGTTCCACTCGCTTACATGTTCCACTCGCTTACACAATACGTTAGTTGCTAAATCAGCTAGTCCTAGGAATTACACTCATTCTACGATATCAGGCCGACCATTGGTCTATGGTAGAACTAGCACGTACCGTATCTCTTGGAATCGACAGTATAAGTATGACCTTTATAGTACTCACTTGTATCATTCACCACTAGGCCTCGCCAAACCCGCCCAAAACCCCAACCCGCCCACGAAAACCCAACCCGTGGGTTGGGTTGGGTTTTAGTCAGCATACCCGTGGGCGTGTTGAAATTATTATTATTATTATTATTATTATTGATTATTTAACGTCGCCGGCAGGTCACTTGGCAGGTGACCCACTACCTCCCGAGGGGTAACTGGACGTGCTACCTAAGCGAGGATTTACTACAACTAGCTAACTAGCTCAACTAAATACACGCTGGAAAGCAGCAAAATTGAGCACTACGTGCTGAGAAAGGGTTAAAGAAGCGCCAGGCACTATCCTGGCCTGGGTTCCTGGGGGTGGACTGACTACCCGCGGATGGGAGAGGGTGCCGGCCTCTCCCATCTGGGCAGAGGTGAAGACTGTTGCGCTATGCGGCGCATGTTTGTGCCCGATTTGGGCAGATGTCCTTGAAGAAGAACGTTTCTTGCACGAAACGGCCGAATTCCTCGGCCTGCTCTCTGTTGAAATATCCCGGTTACTGAGATAATAATGAGGCCGGGATCACGTGCATACATATATACCTGTTCACCAGCCTACTTGTATCTTAGACAACATGCAACACAATACACAATCAACTCCCCTCAATAACATGAACACTGAAGCATCACTTATCAATCAGCACTCTCTTTCATTTCGCCGCCCTTGGCCGGATTTTGAGTGGTCATGATCCCGGAGTCCTTTCACATAATCACCTAAACATATAGTCAGCCTGTTCTATGGTGTATGGATTGTACACTGACCATTTTCCTCGATGATTTCTTGCATCCTCGATCTGACGACCTACCACTTCGTGTATCTATATCCTGGTACGGTGTCTGTATGACTGACTTTCTTGTCGACTCTTGTGGATTCTGCTGTCTTGTCACAACTTTCTTGTTGCCTACTGGACCCTCAGTACAATTGCACCTCTTTCAGAGGTTCCAATAGTGTCCAATCTCCGAACGTATCGCTCACTGTTACACAAACACAAACATGGATCGCTCCGCAATTTCTACCCGGTGTCCTCCTTCCTAACGGCATCCGTCATCAGAGTTACAGAAAACCGCCCCGTTGACAAGCTTGCTTTCGTCTTTGATGGAGCCGCCGTGCCAATGATTCTCGCGAGTCGAGGACGAAACGTAGGTGCGGGCGACGTCGCCATTGAAGGCCAGGGCGGAACGAATCATGTTTGTGTTTGTGTAACAGTGGGCAATATGATCGGGAGGTTGGGCACTACGGGACTATCGAGAGATGTGCAATTGCTCTGTCGATCTAGAGGTGGTTGAAAATGTTTAGCAAAGGGTAGCATAATCAAGTGAACGCGGAGAGACGCCTTGATCGCTCCAGTGGGTAACCTTTGTCAAACGCGGTCAAGCGAACTTGATCATCCCTGAAGAGAAAGGAGCGTGTCGCAAGCTCACGGCCGCGGTTATGGGAGTTGGTGGCGAGGCCCGTTCTACGGACATCTGACAGAAGCTGTCAGAGGTAAAATAAGACCCCAACGACGAAGAATAGGCTCGGGTTTGTCTTTCCATATCTCGTTGAGGAACTGGAAGCTTGAGTTGGATTATTTCGAGAGCGGGACGAGCTAGCTGATAAGAGCAAGAGCAGCTAATAGGAGTAGAAGAGAACGGCCGTGGTAGAACTGATGCGAGTGTGATGGGACCCGGCAGCCATGAGTGGTGGCAGTAGCGGATGGTGATAAGGGGTCTGACCGCCTGATACGATTTCGTGAAAGGATGCCAGGCGTTGGGAGCAGTGGGGTAGTCAGTTAGTTAGTAACCACTAAGGTCGTGAAGAGCCGTACTATCATGGTTGAAATCAGGTTCAGTTATGGGAGTGATGAATATTCCGCGGGCGCACTAGTAACGTTGCGATCTTTATTTGTCAATAGTATCAATAACCTCTGAATAATCATCCATATGTAAGTAATCCAGCATTTTCCCAACGACGTGGGTCGATGCATCCGTCATCTGGAGGGGCAGTGGGTTTTCGGCGAGGCCTCACGAGGTCTACAGATGAAAGACAGATCACATGACAAACCCCCAACCCCGCCTTCATTGCCCAGGGTAGTCAATTCTCAGTTCGTGAAAAGCCCAATCCATCGAGCCGCGTTAGTGTGATACCGTGTGATACCCCAATGGACTCTGCGCGATGCACTAGCAAGCTTCTTCGCCTGCCCCCCGAGCTACTCCTATCGATAAGGGGGTTCTTAGATGAGTTCGATATTTCTCGTCTCTGTCGGGTTAACCGTCACCTATACGGGCAACTTGATGGCGAATTCTTTTTTGATCGCTCTGCAAAAACGCCGGCCAATTCTGCCTTGCTGTTGGCTGCAGAGCACAACCATATGAGGGCAGTTCTAAGAGCCATTTCTGAGGGTGCAGATGTCAACGCAAGTCATCAGCTCAGCAAATATACTCCCTTGGTTGTTGCTGCCGAGTGCGGTCATACAGATATCGTCACGTACTTACTTGCCCAGACCAGCATCAACGTCAATGCCGTAGCCAATCACGGTCAGACCGCTCTCCATTATGCCGCCCGTCATGGGCATACAGATATCGTTGAAAAATTACTAGCCTCCCCCAATTTGCAAGTCAACTTGAGGGATCACTATGATTGGACGCCTCTGATTTGGGCCGTGAAGAAGGGGCATGATGCTATTGTGCAATTGCTTGAGCCGATCGTGCCATGCTACGAGAAAGAGTTTTAGGGATATCTAGTACCCAGCGAAGAAACTCTCACGGGTCACACCCTGCCCTGTTTGAGCCGTCTGTTGGTGGGCACGCCAATCAGTATGTGAGTTTTGGCTTCATCTCGCGTAATAACAACAGGTAGAACATCAGCCGAATTCCTACTCAGCTTAGCAGCTAAGAAATGGATCATTAAGTTAAGCGCTTGATACCAGAGCAATTGTTACCCAACCAATAAGTAATCCTGAGGTGACGGAAATTTGATATGCTCCGGCATCACCTTGATAGGGAAAAGTCAACGACTATGACAAACGGTGGATGCTTTTTGCGGTGGTCACTGTATTGTATCTGCTGGGGTATTGGATATTGTAAAGGTACATGGACAACATTCGCACCCTTGTAAAATACATTGGACCACTGCCGGAAGCGGGTTGCCAGTTCTCGTAATGCTCCGCAACGGAGCCTCCGTTGCGGTATTCTTATCACACGTCCAAAAAGGGCCAAAGGGCCGTATTTTGCCGCTTCTGACCGCTGTACATATTCCGTGATAACCCCCGCACAAACAGATATGAAACTCATTGCTGGTCCATAACATGTGAAATTGACATTTGTCACATTTTGAGGTACGTACTTAACATATAACAAAATATCAGCTATTAGCCCCACCTGCCGGCTATACCTGTCAATCCATTCCGGCTGCACCGAAAGCGAAGCCGATCGTACTGATTTCTGACAGGCAGAATTATGGCTTGGCTTCAAGCAGCTGGAATTATATTTCAAATCCTGGGTATCTTTACCTCTCGAAAAATTAGCTGCCCTTGCCAGCCCGCCAATTACAATGATGACAGCGAGATTCCGTTTGTGCCGGAGGGAACATCGCCGCTTATACGTGGCTGGGTTGAGAGGGTGATAGGGCCATGCAACCAGTCTCAACAGCTCAAGCTCGCCCGGAAAACCATCTTAATACATGCTCCACGATATCAGGATACAGACCCAGGGTGGCAGACCTCATTGAAACAAAGACTAGTACAAGAGGCGCGTTCGATCCATCAAGCCCGGCACCATCATGTCATCCAACTCATCCACGTATATTTTGATAACCAACACCGAAACTCGGATGAAATCAGGTTCGCAGTCATCATGGATCGCGCAGATAGTGACCTTCGCTATTATCTCCAATACGGAAAATGTCCCGAGAAACGTTGGTTCGGCTGCTTGTCAAGCGTTGTGCGCTATATTCATTCTTTGGATATTCGGCATCAAGACATCAAACCGGAGAACATTTTGATTAAAGAAGGGCGAATCTTGTTGGCTGATTTCGGCTTATCGCGAAATGGTATAGGGAAAAAGAAGCAATCCCATTTCCAGTGGATACGGGAGTACTGCGCCCCCGAAGTGGAAAACGGTGCTTCCTGTGGTCTACCAGCAGATATTTTTTCCCTAGGAGCTGTTTTCCTTGAGATGCTAGTCGCCCGGGATTGTCCCGGTCGGTTCGAAGACCTCGAGAATATTTTGAAATTCCCCTCTGATGGAACGCTATCTTACGCCAAAAACATTGACACTGTCCATTTGTGGATCGAGGAGAATCTTCGCCCTCTCGGCTGGCAAGACAATGACGAGATTCGCTCCAAATGCCGTGAAATGCTTCGATCTGATCCCTGTCAGCGCCCTTCAGCTAAGGACCTAATTAGATCCTGGTTACTGCTATCGGCTTCAGACGAGTGCAAGGCCTGCAAGTGTGCTGAAGATATGGTTACACAAGTATAGACAAGGGATGATCAATTGACACATGCTGTAATGTACACGATATCTGTAAGAAAAAGTCAATTGCCTCTAACCAAATGCCCTGTCTATACCCAGTAGGGCCCATGAGACTAGAATTCAAATTACTGCGCGTGGAATTTCTCATCGAGATACGGGAGCGAAAGTGATCAACCTTCAAGTTATGACCGCGCTTTTTTCTGGAGAAGCCATTAACTACTTATTTTAAGATACTTTATTTTCTCACCTGCTATTTCAATTCACTGAGACAATCCATCATCGTGCGGTGTTGAAAACAAAATCCCTTAATACAAATGAGGAGGCAATAAACTTTCAAAAAATACGTAGTCCGTCGATTAACGAGCTACATGAAGCATGGTTTCATCTTTTCGAATTGTGCTTGCTGAGATAGTGCGATTATTCCGTCATGATCCTTTCCGTGGCGTATGACCACAGCGTTATTTAATGCACGGTTACCCTACTCGTCGGGTAGCTCTATAGCACCTTTTCCCAACAAGTGCTTCACGACATTGAACTTGCCCTGCACAGGATGTGCCTGAGTAGACTTTCCCGCATTATCTTGGGCATCTAGTCTCTTAATACACCTGCACATATATTCGCCGATAGACTCTATTTCCCGAACTCATACTGCTACTCTAGGACCTCGCAGGGCCCTAACAATTATGAAACTTCCTCCTACTACCTACTCCTACTACCTATTATATCAAAATTATGTCAAACAATGTCCCTGTTTTTCACTAATAATGCTAATGGTAAAAACTGAAAACATGGGACCCTACCCCTACCCTTGACTTATACTTTGCTATATATCATACCTCTACTGCTAATTCTAAAAACCGAAAACCTCGAACCCTACCCCTTTATCTATTAAACCTTACCCGTGATATCTTTATATTATAATTCCTATCCTACGCTATCCTCGTGCTCGGGTATGTCTAATGACCCCTACTCCTTATTATAAAGCTGGTAAATCGGTCCCTAACCTTCTATCCGTACGGGGTATATACACCTTATACGGGCCGAAACCCACCTATACGGGCTAAATCCTACTACCGGTCGTAATAAACCTACGTTATATACGTTGTGATAATGGTAAATATATATATCTACTCAAAATATTAATAATTTAAATTTTCCTACTACAGTCAACTCTCGCTTATACCACAGCATACTATCCAAGCCAAATTACGTGGTATAATTGAGTTGTGTTTTGGTGAGAGGATGACATAATATTTGACAAGCTAACTCTAAGCCCTAATACCTATTTAGTCTTCCATCCCATCATCTGATCCAAAGTCACCTGACGTTTCTCATCAATCTGAATCCTGCCAAAGTCGCTGATTAAGCTCTCAATTTGTCTAATATGGTCCGAGGTACCCTTTTCTTTGCTACAAACCCATAGTAGGATATCCTGGAGGCTGTCCAATATAGCAGAATTAGACAGAAGCTCAGGTGGGGGCCCATCAATGTCAATATCCTGAATTTCTGAGGTTGTTGGGGCAATATATATATCTTGCTCATTGGTCTCATCTCGCCCTTCAGTCCCATCTTCTAACATGTCTTCGTCCGAAGGGTTCAAAAACTCGTCAAATGGCACAATATCTTTATCACCAAGCTTATCAATTGCTTGATTATATAGACTTTCAATCTCATCACTCAATCCGGGCTCGGAAAATAGTGCAGACTCAGGTGCGGACTCGGGCGCGGACTCAGGTATAGGTATAGACTTTGGACTAATCAAAGTACTTTGTTTAAAGCAATTGATAATCGTTTGGTCTGATACACTTGTTCTCCAAACTTGCGTTACCCAGGTAACAGTATAATAAATGCTCATTCTTTGTTTTGGGTCTATCCCACGATCAAGAAAAGCAATCATATAGCGCATCCATTTCTTCCGATAATGGTGCTTCAAGTTTTGGATAATACCTTGGTCCAAGGGTTGATAAATTGAAGTTGCGTTTGCTGGCAAAAAAACAACCGTAATCCGGGGTGGTGGTGGCGCTCGCTGGAGTCCAATAACATGTGGTGAAGCATTGTCTAAAAGGAGCAAAGCTTTCTTATCTAAGGGAATACGCCCATAGAAAGATCGCAACCAGTCCTCCATAATGTCATGACGCATCCATGCTGCCTTGTTGTGACGCCAAACACATCCCAGAGCTCGGAAATTAACCCCCGGAGTGCGCGAGGGGTTTTTGCTGTGCCAATCAACCATAAAGGGACTCGATCGGAACCATCCGCATTTGATGCAACAACAATAGTGATTCGTGTTTTATCAAGCTTTTTGCCAGCAATTTTTCCCTTTGAAAGACCACCATTTGGCATACGTCGCCAAAATAGGCCAGTTTCATCCATATTGTAGATTTCGGACGGTTTGAATTGATTGCAAATCGATTTGGTGCTTTTGATCTGATCATGTACCGAGGATGGGACTGAGGCAGCTTCTCCGTGGAAAGTATGATATTGAAGAGAGTGGCGTTGTTTGAAGCGAGTTAACCAACCCTCAGAGAATTGAGGTTTGGTCCGATCTTTGTATTCCGGTATTTGTCTCCAAAGCTCAGCTGCTTTAGTTTGGATCAAAGGGCCATTTATTGGTATTCCATTGCCAATATGGTTATCTGCCCAGTCATATAGCTTTTGGTCCAATAATGGCCAATGAGAGGATGAAGATCGTTTGTTTGCCCCTGCAGGGCCCGTATCAAGATAATTGTATTTGGATGAAAGGATCCTTGATATGGTTGACCGGTCAATCACTTGTTTGAATTGGTCCTCAAACCACTTAGCACATGCAGTCTGCGTGGGCTTTGGGCTAGTATTAGACCAAAATGCCCGTAGTGCCTGGTTCTGCGCGTCTGATATACCCAATTTGGTACGCTTTGGTCCCATTCTGACGCGCTTGGGTGGGGTCGGGAGGGTAGGAGAGCTTGTAGATTGAGGCATTCTGATTGGTTGATTGCGCTGACTAAGCAGATTTGAGAGGAAGAAAGTGTGGTAAAACAAAATGTGTTATATTCTGTCAATTTATATGGAAAAAACTGGAATGAAGGGGCCATCCAAGCAAGGGATGTGTTATTATCAAGAATGTGCAATATCCCACCGTGGTATAAGCGAGAGTTGACTGTACCCATTTCAAAATATATATCGCAACGTCATGAAATGTCTCAACGATATATTTTGTGACCAAGCCTTTATAATCTAAATTTTGTTGTGATCTGAAGCTCGCCAAGCACTGCTAATGCTTGGCTGAGCAGCGCTATAGAGAGCTTCAGAGCACTTGGTTGAATGCATCAAGCAACGTGGCCTTTTCATATTGCTAGTGAGCTGATCACGCAATAGTTTCATGAAAGGCATATCGTATGCATTTGACCATTATAAATAGCTATAGAGAAGCCTCCTTCGGGAGGTAGACTTAAATCATCTCGTTTTACTGCCCATTGCTCATGCATAGTGCTTCTCAGACCATTGTAAATTACAACAAATTTTACCTTGCGAAAAATGGTAAAAAAACATGAAATATCTGACTAGCTAGTTGGATTACCTATATATTGGGCTAAACCAAACCCCCCTTACTCCGGTGCTTCATGCCTATACTACCCCCCTTACATTGTGTTGAGATGGATGCAAGATCCATCGTATTATGCCTTGCATTTAAGGCATCAATTCTGTGTCGGCATTAACGTAATTCACATGCGAGTGGGCCACCCAAGCGAGTGGGCCACCTGCCGCGAAACGCGTCAATTAATTAGACCTTCCTTTTTAACCACCTACCATGCCACCAATTCGTACTCAATCCTCTCGAAATTTAGTAGAGCAGGAGGGTAGGGTCTTATTAGCTATTCAGGCTATTAAGAATCAAGAAATTACCTCTATACGCGAAGCATCACGCCACTTTCAAGTGCCCCGTTCAACCCTACAACGCCGCCTTACCGGTGACATCTTTCGTCCTGATTCACGCGCAAATAACCATAAATTGACCGAAATTGAAGAGGAATCGCTTCAAAAATGGATTCTCTCAATGGATTCTCGCGGAGCAGCCCCTCGGCCCTCTACCGTACGAGAAATGGCTGATCTATTACTCGCGGCGCGTGGATCTACCCACCCTCTTTCGGTCGGTAATAATTGGGCTACAAACTTCGTAAAGAGACATCCAATCCTATCAACCCGGTTCTCAAAACGATATAATTTCGAGCGCGCGCAATGTGAAGACCCAAAGACTATCGGAGATTGGTTTTCTCTCGTCCAAAAAACTATACTTCAATACGGCATCGACTCCGACGATATCTATAACTTCGACGAGACTGGTTTCGCAATGGGCTTAATTGCAACCGCAAAGGTGATTACGAGAAGGGAATACTACGGTCGGCGATCACTTTTGCAACCCGGAAATCGCGAGTGGGTTACCGTAATTGAGTGTATAAATTCCTCGGGGTGGGCGCTTCCTCCGTGCGTGATCTTTAAGGGCAAAGTCTATATCGAATCTTGGTTCGACGGCCTTCCGGACGACTGGCGCTTCGAGGTTAGTCGAAAAGGGTGGACTTCCGATGAAATTGGCCTTCGGTGGCTTGAAAAGCTCTTTATTCCGTCTACTTCTTCGCGTACGAAGGGGAAGTATAGACTTTTGATACTCGACGGCCACGGAAGTCATTTAACCCCGAAATTCGACGAAATTTGCGAGAAAAACGATATTATCCCAATTTGTATGCCTCCGCATTCGTCTCACCTTTTACAGCCTCTCGATATCGGCTGTTTTGCGGTGTTAAAGCGCTCGTACGGTCAGCTTATCGAAAGTAAAATACGGCTCCGGATCAATCATATCGATAAACTTGATTTCCTCGAGGCCTACCCGTCCGCACGAATTGAGGCATTTAAATCGGAGACTATTAAGAATAGCTTCGCCGCCGCCGGTTTAATGCCTTATAACCCCGATCGAGTGATCTCGAAGCTCGATATTTGCCTTCGAACCCCGACACCCCCTTCGAGCCGGGGGAGCGAGTGGGATCCAAAAACGCCTTCGAACCACGTACAATTACAAAAGCAAGCTTCCTCAATTAAAGCTTTGCTAAAACAGCGCTCAAAAAGCCCACCGAGCCCGCTTAATTCCGCGATAGATCAGGTTTTAAAAGCGTGCCAAATCACAATGCAATCGGCAGCTTTTCTCGAGAAAGAAGTACGCGAATTACGCGCTGAAAACGAGACGAAGAAGCGAAAAAGAACTCGGTCTAGAAGGCAAATAGCTTCTGAAGAAGGTCTCTCGGTTTTAGAGGCCTCTACATTAGCAATGCAGCCGGAGCAAGTAATTATAGCACCAATACCCCGCCAGGCAAGACCGCCCCCGGCACCTTTACAACCACGTACGAGGGCCTTACCGAAGTGTGGAGCATGTGGAAATGAGGGTCATAAAAGAAATGCATGTCCAGATAGACCTCGTTTTTAGCTTATTGAATTTAATGGCGTTTTGGTTAAGATAATTGCATTTAAATTTAATGGGTAGTGGCTAGGTGGCCCACTCGCTTGGGTGGCCCACTCGCATGTGAATTACGTTACCTTACGAATACTGCAAGTGACCGGATCTAGTATTGATCCGATGCATCTGATTATGTAACTAAATTGAAGCATAACGTAACGTAATTCACCAGTGAGCTGCGCACCACTAGTGAGCTGCGCAGTCCGGAACACATAGTAAATGCGATATATGTTACATTTATATCTTAACAACCGCACACTTGTTCTATCTAGTTACCTACCGATAACAATCGATAAGACTTATTAGTACTGTATATCAATTTCAAGGACATCGAAAGGCTAGGTGATTATCATTTCCAAATTTACCGAAAATTACGAACGCAAAAGCTCGATATTAATATATTTTGATAATTATGACAGAGAAACTCCTTAAGCTCAGGTAAATTGCTAGACACTACATAGAGAGTATTTAGGCTCAAGGAAAGATTCCTGTAGACTAGGGTTGTTGAGATATTAAGTTGTAATTTATCGCATTTACTATGTGTTCTGGACTGCGCAGCTCACTAGTGGTGCGCAGCTCACTGGTGAACTACGTTATTTCACATGCGAGCGGCGCACACAAGCGAGCGGCGCACCCCACCAAGCCTATTAATTTCAAATGCATTTATCTTAACCAAAACGCCATTAAATTCAATCAGCTAAACTCGAGGTCTATTAGGACATGTAGTCATTCTATGACCCTGAATTCCACATATACTGCACTTCGTTTTTGCCCTCGTACGCGGCTGAGAAGGTGCCGGAGCTAATCCTGCCTCACGGGATCCTTGTGCTAAAACTGCTTGCTCTGGCTGCGCTATTAATGAAGAGGCCTCTAAAACTGAGAGACCTTCTTCGGAAGTTATCTGCCTTGTAGATCTAGTCTTTTTTCGCTTCTTCTTCTCGTTTTCAGCGCGTAAATCGCTTACTTCTTTCTCGAGAATAGCTGCCGATTGCATTGTGATTTGACAGGCCTTTAAAACCTGATTTATCGCGCAATTAAGCGGGCTCGGTGGGCTTTTTGAGCGCTGTTTTAGCAAAGCTTTAATTGAGGAAGCTTGTTTTTGTAATTGGACGTAGTTCGACGGCGTTTTTAGCTCCCACTCGCTTCCTCGGCTCGAGGGGGGTGTCGGGGTTCGAAGGCAAATATCGAGCTTTGAGATTACTCGATCGGGGTTATAAGGCATTAAACCGGCGGCGGCGAAGCTATTCTTAATAGTCTCCGATTTAAATGCCTCGATTCGCGCGGACGGGTAGGCTTCGAGGAAGTCAAGCTTATCAATATGGTTGATTCTAGCACGCATTTTTGACTCGATAAGCCGACCGTACGCGCGCTTTAACACCGCAAAACAGCCGATATCGAGAGGCTGTAAAAGGTGAGACGAGTGCGGAGGCATACAAATTGCGATAATATCGTTTTTCTCGCAAATTTCGTCGAATTTCGGGGTTAAATGACTTCCGTGGCCGTCGAGTATTAAAAGTCTATACTTCCCCTTCGTACGCGAAGAAGTAGACGGAATAAAGAGCTTTTCGAGCCACCGAAGACCAATTTCATCAGAAGTCCATCCGTTCGGACTAACCTCAAGGCGCCAATCGTCCGGGAGGCCGTCGAACCAAGATTCGATAAAGACTTTGCCTTTAAAAATCACACACGGAGGAAGCGCCCACCCCGACGCGTTTATACACTCAATTGTAGTCACCCACGCGCGATTTCCGGGTTGTAAAAGTGCTCGCCGACCGTAGTATTCCCTTCTCGTAATAACCTTCGCGGTTGTAATTAAGCCCATTGCAAAACCAGTCTCGTCGAAGTTATAGATATCGTCGGGATCGATACCGTAGGAAAGGATCGTTGTTTGGACGAGAGAAAACCAATCTCTAATAATCTTCGGGTCTTCGCATTGCGCACGCTTGAAATTGTATCGTTTTGAGAACCGAGATGATAGGTTTGGATGCCTTTTTACAAAGTTTGTAACCCAATTCTCGCCGACCGAAATAACGGGGGTAGATCCACGCGCCGCGAGTAGTAAATCTGCCATTTCTCGTACAGAAGAAGGCCGAGGGGCTGCTCCGCGAGAATCCATAGAGATAATCCATTTTTGAAGAGATTCCTCCTCGATTTCTGTCAATTTATGGCTATTTGCGCGTGTTTCGCTACGCGTTTTATGGCCCTTGAGACGGCGGCGTAAAGAGGTCTCCGGTACATCAAATAGACGTGCTGCTTGACGAACAGCGCTTATTTCTTTATTCTTAATAGCCTGGATAGCTAATAAGATCCTACCCTCTTGCTCTGTACGATTTCGAGAGCTTTGAGAGCGAATTGGTGGCATGGTGGGTGGTTGAATAAAGAGAGTCTAATTAATTGACGCGTTTTAGGTGGGGTGCGCCGCTCGCTTGTGTGCGCCGCTCGCATGTGAAATACGTTAAATAGCGTGAACTAGGGGTAATTGAAATACAGAGTCATTGAGATCTCCAATGGGTTGGGCACAATACAAGAATTGACAGTTATGAGCCCGGTTCGCCGTCATTAGGACCACTGCTATCACTTGAAGCTATTCACAACGACATAGACACCGAAAGCAGCTCTGATCGACCCCAAAACCCTGAATACCCTCATCCCAACGAGCCACCTACCTCCTTGAACGCCTGTTTCGAAGCACCAGAAGCAGCAATGGAGGCGAGATCGATGCCCTCCGCTGTGAGAAGCGACAAATTGAAAGACTCGTCACAATGGCGAGCATGGTATATGCAAATAAAGGCTTTTGCAGCACAAAGAACAGTCTGGGATCTCTGTAACCCAGACACCGACGAATTGCATCGTCCAAAGGCTCTGGAAGAGCCAATTGAGCCTGAATACCCTGAGGAAGGAAACGAAAAGACCCTGAAGGCCTGGAGAGATCGCTTGGAGATCTACAAGATCAAAGCGAACCGCTGGGAAAAGCAGCAAAAGGGTCTGAATGAAGTGAATGATTATATCATCACTTACCTGGACAACTCCCTACGTCTCAGTGTCCTCATATATGATACGCCTATCGGACGCTTAGCATACCTCAAGAAGCGCTTTGCCCGATCTTACGTGTATGAGGAGGAAGTGCGTATGAAATGGAAGGCTTTCTCTTCTCAAAGGCCTACTGGAGACGTCGAGAAATGGCTGTTCGACTGGAATGACCTACGAGAACAAGCTATTAACCTCGAACTTGACGAGGTGAAGAGTGCAAACAAGGACTTCCTCTATGCAATCAAGGATGTCTCACCGGTTTGGTGGCAGGCGTATCACGAGAAGATCATCGTGAAAGGCAAATCAATCGATACACCGGACCTGATTGAATCTTTTCGAGCGTCATACCAGGATGCGGGACCTAATAGAGCGACACCCTCTCCGTCGGCAATGAAGGGCTCTTTTTCTACTTGGCAAGGTCACCAAGAAGCAAGGAGTGGCACCAAAGACGTAAGGGGTGGGAAGAATGGCAAGAATGAGACGCCATTCGACAAAAGGCCATGCCCTTGCGGACGAAAGAACCAAAAACACAATGCCGTTAATTGCTTTATCGTGAATGAAGCAATTAGACCCGACTGGTTCATTCCAAACAAGGAAAACTTGCAAAAGGTCGAGAAAACGCTCTCAGCCGACCCAGAATGGAAGAAATGGATATTTGAAGCCATTGAAAACGCTAAAACGCCATCGAATGCGGTCCAATTGAGGAGCATTGACACTCCACAGCCAACGAAGATAGCAGAGAATATGTCCTTTGCTAGCAGAGCATTCGGATCTCACTTCGCTGATTCTTCATTTAAAGAGCGGTGGATTCTTGACACTGGATCAGGTGTACACGTCTGCAATGAAAAGAGTCGATTTGTGAATCTCCAACCATGTAAGGAGACTTTAGCGACTGGAGACGGTACCACTGCTGTCCTCGGACGCGGGACAGTCAGACTGACTGGCGTGGACCCGATATCGAAGCAAGAAAAGACAATCACGCTAAGCAATGCCTGCTATGCACCTGGTTTTCACGTTAACTTAGTGTCGTACGCAAGGTTGCGAGAAAAAGGAGGCTTTTGGTCTGAATCTAGAGGCTATATACAAGATCACCAAGGAATCCCTATAGTCAGCCTGAGACTATGGCATCATGACGGATTATGGGTCTTTGACCAACCAAATGAAGACATTCGCAACTCTGCGAATGCTGTGAGATCTTCCTCGACACCACTGCAAGAAAAGGCATCGGCTGATCTATGGCACCGGCGCCTAGCTCACATTCAGCACAAAACGGTGCATCAAATCCAGACTATGGTCGACGGAGTGATCATTGAAGGCAAAGAAGACGCCTATAAGATGTGCGAGACATGTCAACTCGGAAGGTCAAATCGCCAAGTGTCAAGAAGACCAATTGGACGGGTTTTCGGACGTCTTGGGAGAGTGCACTTTGACCTAATCCAGCTCCAAAAGGCTTACAATAAGCATCATTGGATCTCTCATTTCTATATTGAAGGTATTAGGTTTCACTGGATCCTAACGCACGAATATAAGCCCGAATGTCAGCTTGCAATCAATCAATTCGTGCAATTGGCCAAGAATTGGTGGAACCTACCTATCAAGGCTTTCAACTACGACAATGAAGCGGCAGCTGGACGGCCGGCGGAACGGAGTTTGACGTCAGACGGTATAGTGGTCTATCATAGCCCACCTCGACACCCTGAAATGAATGGCCATGCTGAACGGTCAGGGGGTGTCATCGTGCTCCGCATGCGAATGCTGATGATAGAGGGAAAGCTCCCTAAGGAACTATGGCCAGAAGCTGCAAGGGCAGCAGTATGGCTATTGAATCGGACTCCAACGTACCTGGCAAACGAGAAACGCTGGATTATCCCATGGGGAGAAGTGATGAAGGAGTTCGCAAGCACTGATAAAACGGTACCAAGAATCAACCTATCGAACGTCAGGTTGTACGGGAGTCTTGCCTACTGTCGTATCGACAAGCAAGTTCAATCAGATAAGATGAATCCTCGCGCTGAGGTAGGATTCCTGGTCGGCTATATGGCTTCAAATGTGTGGAGAATATGGTTCCCACAGAGTGGGAAGGTGAAGCTTATTAGAGACGCAGTTTTTGATGAATCGCGCCGCTATATGCTTGATTTTCAGCACTTCCAACCTATTCCAATGCCATTGGCTAAAGAACCCAAGGAACTGGACCAATCGGAAGCTGAAAGAGCCTTCCAAGCATCGATATCAACTGGGTCGATGCCAGAATTCGAGATAGGAAGCACCAACAATGAAGACTTAGATGAAGCAGAAACCCCGAAAACCAACAGAGAGGTTTTTTCAGCTGAAAAACAGTCTCTATCTAGACATCAGGGGGTGTATAGCACACCCGATCGGCAAATTGAAGCTACTGAAGCTATTACCGAAATTCCCGGAGCTTTTCCGCAAGAGATACCGCTACCTCCGACTCCACCTTATGAAGATCCTGTAACTGGTCAGGGGGTGGAGACAGCATCGGAAATGCTCGCAAATGACCAGTCACAGGAGACCCAGGAGACGTCTATCGACATCGTCACCGATTCGGACGGAGACGCTGAATTGCAGCTACAAGCGGAGCTTCTTATACCGCGAGAGCTCGCCCCGAGAGACATCAACAGTGACGTGAATGAGGCAAATATAGTGACTGGCTCGAGAAGAAGGACAGCAAGATACGACAACGCATACAGCACAATAGAACCACCAGCTTACCTCCATGCATTCGCAGCAGGCCTATACGCTGAGAAACCAATACGACATCATCGGGATGATCTCCCTGAGCTTCCGAAGCACTGGAAGGACGTCATGAATCATTCATTCCAAGAAGGGTTCTTAGCAGCAATGAGAAAAGAAATAGATTCGCTTACCGAAAAAGCGACATTCGACACCGTGGATCGCCCGAAGGACCGAGGCAAGCAGATCCTACCGCTTCGCTGGGTCTTTGCATACAAATTTGACCAGGATGGCTATCTTCTGAAGCTGAAGGCAAGAATCTGCGTTAGAGGTGATCTTGAGACGATCTCTTCCGAAGAAAAGAGAGCTGCTACACTAGCAGCTAGAACAGCAAGGATGATCTTCGCTCTAGTCGCAGCATTTGACCTCGATTTGAGACAGCTGGATGCAGTGACGGCATTCCTGAATAGCAGACTTGAGAAGGAGGTGTATACTAGAATGCCTGAAGGATTTGTGACAATAGGAAAATGCTGGAAACTTCAGAAAGCCCTATATGGACTAAGAATCTCACCGCGCCTGTGGCAGCAGGAAGCGGCAAGAGTTCTTATGAAATTAGGGTTCCGACAGGTCCCAGAGGATCCATGCGTCTTTATAGCAGACAGCATTATTGTCTTCTTCTATGTCGATGATATACTGATAGCAAGCCATCGACTCGCGAGAGAGAGAGCTAATCAACTGGAAAGGGATCTCGAAGCACATTGGGAACTTACTAACCATGGAGAAGCAGAGTGGTTCCTGAATATACGCATTATTCGGGATCGGAGTATGAAGAAGCTATGGCTTTGCCAGGATAGCTACATTACCAGCGTGGCAGCTAGGTATAACCTCACTGATAGACCACCAGTGTCTACCCCATTGCCAATTGAAGAATTGAAGTCTTATGAAGGCTTAGCAAGTGCAAAGGAGATCCACCTATACCAGCAAAAGGTCGGATCAATGGGATACGCCACCACTATCACTCGGCCAGATGCAGCAAAAGCAACTGCGAAGCTTGCTCAATTCCTGACCAATCCAGGACCACAGCATCAAAAGGCAGCAGACCGAGTAATCAGCTACCTTTACACGACAAGATATCTCGCCATTGAGTACAGTGCTCAATTGGACAGCGAGATTGACTCGGTGCAGCTAGCGAGTGACGCGTCATATGGAGATCACGAAGATAGGAAGAGCTCTGCAGGCTATATCTGCCAGGTCTATGGAGGCCCGGTAGACTGGAAAGCCACGAAGCAGCGAACGGTGACTACCTCCACTACAGAAGCAGAGCTCTTAGGACTGTCAGAAGCAGGAAAGCACCTCCAATGGTGGAGGAGGCTATTAGGACAAGTTGGTTTTGATCCCTCTCACGTTATCACCATTCAATGCGACAACGAGAGAGCAATTGGACTGATCACAACTGAAGACGCGAGTTATGACACCAAACTCCGACACGTGGACATTCATCATCTCTGGCTAAGACAGGAAATAAGAGCTCGGCGTATCGCTGTACAATGGGTGCCGACGGCCAACATGGTCGCGGACGGTCTCACGAAATTGCTATCGAGACAGCAGCATGAGAAATTCGTCAAGCTACTCCGCATGGTCAGTATTCAACATCTGATCATGCAAAGCTAGTCCATCATAGGCAATTGGAAGCTGTTTGGGTGGAAGGATGCAGATTCGAAGGATTGTCAAGTTCAGCGGCTCAGTAAGGACTGAGGCCACTGAGGGGGTGTGTCGGCATTACCTTACGAATACTGCAAGTGACCGGATCTAGTATTGATCCGATGCATCTGATTATGTAACTAAATTGAAGCATAAATAGCGTGAACTAGGGGTAATTGAAATACAGAGTCATTGAGATCTCCAATGGGTTGGGCACAATACAAGAATTGACAGTCTAGTAATGCCTGAGGCACCAACTGACTGTGAGTCAAGAGATGAGTCTGATAAACAACCAGACGCACATCTTCCCGCGACAGCCCATTCCCTGCGCCAGCTGGCCCCCCAACTACTCTGTCGACTCAGTTTGTTTCGTTCGATTATCTGCTGAATAATTCTTTCAACAAGGGATGGAGGAAACAATCGCCGAATTCCACGTCAGGTTAAAGAACAACAAAGGCTCCAAGAAGCGGCTGAGCGCCGTGAAGAGGAAGAGAGACAGGCGCGAGAAGCGGCAGAATGGCGAGTGCAATCCAACTCACTATTTCGCCTCCTCGATCGCTGCCACGATTCTCTGTCTCAAGCGATCCAAGTTGAGGCAGATACAACCCTCACGACGCAGGGCGACGCGGCCGACCCAGTGAACCGTGTCAACAAAAGAGGGTCGAAATGTTACTAGTGCGCCTGAGGAATATTCAGCACCCCCTCTGCCTGATGATCGTTAAGGCTCTCAACGACCTTACTAAGCTCATCCCCTATTTATTCTGCACTTTTCTATAGTATATAAAAAAAACACTCTCAAGTACTCAATTGGCTATGCCCGTACTAGTCCGTACTGTAACGACCACGTTCCGACACCACGATTTATGTCCATTTTTGGGTATTTTGGGCAACCCGCGGGTACCCGCCAAGAACCCATGGGCGGGTTTATGAAGGCCAAAACCCACGGTGGGCTACCCGTGGGTGGGTGAAGAAAGTGAAAACCCAACCCAAACCCGCGCTTGGCGAGGTCTACTGTTCACTCAAGGTCAGAACTACGAAGTGTAGAGCCCTTTGATATGTCTCGAAAATCCGAATCATGGGTTCAATTCAAGATGATTATGCGGTAGGCTCAGTTTCTTGCGTCGCCAAAGAAATTGCTTGAGATGACTATTGCTAGTCACTCGAACCTGTTCTACACTAGAATGCCTACATCATAGAGCGACTACGAGAGTGAGAGTTTCGTTCTCTCAAGGTCAACATGTCATTGGTAGCTTTGGCTCGGGAATATCTGATCCGCTCCTTCTACATGTAGGAGCCGTCGCAACTTTGTGAATAATATCCCGCCAGTACTTCCGATTCATAGTTCACCCAATCTCTCGTAAAAGTCCACTACAGCGATTAAGAAACAGTCGTTTTTTCCTGTGGTGCCTATTCCCGAGTCATGCAATACAGCATGCTCCGCTGCTGATATAGCATGATTGAAGTCCGGTCGATTTCCAACTAGCCCTCCGGGACCAGAACTGGTAAAAACACTCTCCACGATCGCCGCTCCGGACTTGGTGATATTTGTACAGGGGTGTTCTCATCCGCGTGTGACCCTAGCAGGCATCCGCTCAAATCCTCCCCAAGCAAATGTAACATGAGCGCTTATTGGGGTAGATAATTCGTATAAGCTGTACGGGACATTCAGAGGTCCTACAACCCGAGGGCTCTTGTGGTGCTCTTACAGACATCAAG